ATTTTACAGTTTATCGACAACTATAAAATGTTTGAAGAACATGAAAACACTTCGTTTACATTGCAGAAAAACGAAACCCGACGAAGAAAGAACTATCATTTTGTAATCTTATAAGATATTAGCAAAACAGTTACGTTTACAGCATGCAAAAATGTTTTGACTAAATTATATTTTCGCGAAACTACTTTGCTTTTAAAAGGCTGCACGATTTTCACTGTTTTCATAGTGTTTTGTAACTGCACATTTGCTTTGACAGTTTGTGCCTTCAAGGAACTCAAAATCTATCCCCAAACTACAAATTAGGCAACAAGACAAAACGTTTTGACGATGAAAACGTAGATTTAGCTTTGTTTATACTTTATAGTTTGCACTCCTGGCCAAAATTCAAAATGGCGCATTCAAAAGGGCACGCACCTGAAAAAAGTGGAGACATGATTCGTCATTAGCGCGCATTCTATGTCTATTATTTCTATGAGCCATGCCCAGTAAATACCGTACCAATGACGCTCAGCTAGCTCGATTCAGCGCACTTTTGTGACTTTCCCTCCCCAAAGACATACTTGGTTCATGTTGTAGTTAGTTAACTCATAACTGGTACAATAATTTAGAAGCCCTGAACCGAACCAGTCAGTTTTTCAGGTGCGAGGACTGGAAATCCGCCTTTAGTCGGCGGTATGAAATACTAGTTTCATATGATTCTGATACTGCAGAGTACAATGAAGAATTTCCTGTCTCCAGCAGGAGTTCCAACTCGCATCCTTTGAGCTACGGTCGCTATAGGCAAGGCCTCTCAGCAATTGAGCAATGCAGACAACGGGGATTGGTAAAGAGTTTTATCCAATTTTAGTGGACGAAATATTTTCATGAACACCGCGGAAAAACGTCTGCGCATGCCCTAGAAAAAATGTCGGAGCTTTTAAATGCAAAATTAGGGCCATTTATACGAGCGAAAATAAGCCGCGGCCTAAATAAGCTGCGACTTAAATAAGTCACGTACAACTCGTATAAACAGTCAATTCGCAATTAGCCGCGGCTTATTTAGTCTAGCTTTCAAGCCTGGGTTTATTTTAGCCGCGGCTTATTGCAAATTGACTGTTTATACGAGTCGTTCGCGACTTATTTAAGCCTCATGATCAGCTTATTTCGGCCGCGGCTTATTTTTGCTCGTATAAATGGCCCTATTGTAAACAAAAACATGGCTATTTAACATTTAAGGTAAGTGAAACAAACAACAAAAATACTAGACGGGTATTTTAGACTTTAATAAAAATATTTCTAACATTTAAAAACTAAAAAGAAACAGCTTTAAATTAAAAATTATCGCTTTAGATCGGGAGGCGTGTGAACGTTTCTTGAAATATTGTCGAATACCGAACTTGAGACACGAAAGTTAAGCAAACTATTAAAGAGTTAAGCATTTGCATACGATTACATTGTAGAGTAAATTATTACCCTTAAATATTATAGTCAACGCAAAAGTTATGCTGACATGCTACGCAAAAAAAATTATTGAGAAAAATGTGGATCATATGAACATACGAAAAATATCTTTGTATATATGGTTTAGTTAAAGAACTTTATTTTATACAATCAATTTATCGACAGTCACCTTTTGTTCATTTTCTTGCACAATACTACTTTTTGCACATATACTCATGTAGATTGTAATTATTACTAGTTTTTAGGTTGTCACATTCATTATTCCGCTTGCATTTACAGAGAAAAGGCAAAACATCGAAGTCGCTCCTTGTCGCTTCCATTTTGAGTTTTTGACAACCTTCGGAATACTAGCTTGACGCCACGTTCGCAAGGCAAAATTCAGTATGGTTGACGCATAGGCATACGTTTTCCGTGGTGTTTCCACGGATATATGACAGCTTTTTGTTTCATATTATTCTGACATGCGTCAAGTCCTCACGAAAATATTTCGTGCACTGCGATCAATTGGCATGCATAAGACTCGCTACCAATGCACGTTGATTCGTTACGATCAATTAATGGCTGCGATCAATACAGAAAACAAAGTTTTCATTGTATTCTGCAGTTTCAAAATAATATCAGAACTACAAATACATGCATGCAGAAACCATCTTCCTTGCTACACAACAACAATAATTACGTCCAGCAATTATCGAGTTTAGTGTCTTAATCTATTAATCTTCAGATATACTGTAGTAGTATCATCTACAAAAGTTCGCAGTTCGACACGACGTCCACTGTTGAAGATTATTTAAACTATTAATATTATTCTAAACATGCACGTTTTATGCAAATAGTGTCCTTGCACGAGTGTGTCTCTAAGATGGACGTATTTTCATCTCAATATTCTTCATGACGGTTCTATAATCATTTTTCCAATGGTAACAGGAAATTCGACATCCTTTCGCAGTCATATTTAACGTTGCGAAATACCGCCCATTCAGATTGGAGTAGCCACATGCTTTGTACCACCAAGCACCTTGGCGTCTCCTTGCGCAGTTGTGGTCAATATTTACGTCATTATCTCTGTCGTTGGTCGTGAACATCATTCCGTTGAGATTACTGAATGAATCACCAGCATTGCCTTAAAATATTCAGAAAAATCCCAAAACTTTTGGAGTTTGAGTATGCTTATCAGATTCCGATCATGGGATTTTTGGCTTCACTTTTCACTCCCTTGTTATCGGGGGCTTAGGAAGATTGGTAAACGTATTGGGAAAGAGGAAGGGGTAACTGGTAACCTGATGTTTCTAAATCGTCCGAAATGAGATTTTCATTGCCCTCTCTAGAGAAGGCTCTGAAAATCCCATTTCAGACGATCCGTGAGTCAAGTGGGATTTTTTTTTATTAGTCGGCTGATAAAAGCAATATTTTTAAAAAATTCAATTATACGCATAAAGTTGAAACATGCACTCATGGAATCTTTGATATATTTGATATAAAAAGTATCATGGTATCAGGAATGAATATAGCGTGATCTTAATCCATGGGGAGTTCGTTTGATGGAAAGAACCATGTATAAAGCTACATTTTTCGCATTTTTTAAAAAAATATTGTTGCTTATAGTATACTGTTGTCCACCGTATTTCAAGTCTTTTAATTTTAGTTACTGCTTACACAAACAAACTGCTTGCAACTTAAACCAAGCAATATTTTACGAGAGAAGCATGTATATATACTGTACTACACACTTTTATAAATTTAGTATGGTTATGTTCTGTCTAACTTTTATTGCCTTGCTATAAGTCAATTGTTATATATATTTACCTGAAAAAATACCAATACTTAGTTTGTAACTGTCCGACTCAGAAGCCACAGAAAAATTCTTATACTCGGCGTAGGCGTGTGTGCCAGCAAAATCCCACATGTCAACTCTTAAATATGAACTTTGAGCAGCAGATGTGGTCAAACGATGTATTTTATCCAACCCAAGCCAGAGTTCGCCGGTCAAGTTACCAAAACCAACTTTATAGTCTGACCAACCACGATAGAAATCTACACTTCCGTCCTGTCGTCTTTGAAATACTGTCCAACCTCCGCCATTTTGCATATCACACCAGACTTTGAATGTTCCGAAGCCATCAGGATCAACAGTATAAACACCATCTTCTCTTTCCCCGGATTCATAAAAACTTGCACAACTCTGTTGCGGAACTGTATAATAGGTATAATAAAAAGGTTAAGGCACGGAGAAAGTATCGAATGTGCCTCAATGGAAAATTTTGACGTTGCGCCATAATGTATTCAACAACAAAGTATACTTGATATTTATATATTATACAGTATATGTACCAATTATTCTCGCTGCTCGCTTTCGCGCGCAATACCTCTGAATTAAGATTGGGGCCAAATAATTTTGTGTGGACGGTACAGTGCGGCGAAGCTACCTCCGGTAGTGTCGCAGACGAGAGGAGGAAGGGGGTCCCGAAAACATTCTAGTGCCGTTGTCACAGGATTTTCGCCCCCACGAGATTTGCACACCCCAAACGATGGCGTTAAAGTCCGATTTTTTTCTTACATTAAATAAGAAAAAACTTACCCAGATGTTTTAGACTTCTTAGCAACAGGTGGTGCGCACAGTCGGCAGAACCATTCATTTGATACATTTAGCCTAGAGTCATAAGTCTCATATTGTGCACGGCATACGCGCATTCACTAGTAACAATTATAAGCAATACATTTATCGATAACGGCAAAACATGGATGTATAACAATATTAATAACACACTTCTTTTATAAAGCATTTTGAAAATATTTAATATATCGAATAATGTTCAATTACGACGAAATCTTTTTGGACCTTGCATGGGTATGGCACTTTGTACAAACTTTCAAACATTCATTAATAATTCATAATTCATACGCTTATTGGCGAATCATGTCAACCATAATATGTCGCGTGCAGTGGCTTTAAACCTGATAAAACACTCCTAATTAGTATTTTTTATATAAAGAATACTAATAAGGCAGTATCCACTGTAGTCGTGTCCTCATCAATATTCTTTATTTCAAAAACTCAATAATTCATGAAGCAATTATCCAATCTTGAGTAAGAAATTAGTCACGTGCATACGTCTTTATACCAGCTAAAAAATACTTTAACAAAAGACCATTGTTATGCAAACTATATAAAGATTTTTAAATATATTTATTTTTTCTAAATAGTAAGCAAAGAATACTAATAAAGCAGTATATCTATTGAATTTGTAGTCTTGTCTGAAGCCGTTTAATAAACTCGCAGGTCGTGTTTTATTAGGTCTAACGCCACTCGCGCTGCGCGCTCGTGGCTTTAAACCTAATAAAACACTCCTGCTCTTTTATTAATAAACAGCACATAAGATCGTGTATTTAATTTAGTTTATACATATCGAAATTAGACCAATTCCATCATATGTTTAAAAATATTGGAGGCGAAACCAGGATTCATAATTAATTGTGTAAACGGTCTCTGGTTAAAAAGATTTATTTGTTACGGCAAGCTTTCAACTGCCAGTCTGCAGTCTTCGACGGGTAGATTAATAATGCGCTAGTGAATTAAGATATGATACGAAGTGAATAGTGCTATATAATAGCGGTTTACAATTATTCATTTACTGACACAATTATACTGACAGTTCCGCCTACATAGAAGATTGGTAACTAATTATATATTGTGCAGAATTTACTAAAGTTTTTTGAGCAAAAAGCAAAACACCCCAGATTCTGGGGTATCACGTGACCAGCCCCAACCAGGGTTTCCCGCAACTTTTAGAGCTTTTCAGAGGACTGTTGACATTGGATAAATTTACAGATGGAGGATAAATGCTCAGGCCAAATTTGTTGTTTGTTAGAAAGACAGTACTTAGTGTTCTTGATATTGGTACTTCAAGCTATCTGCGGATAACTTTGTTGGCAATAGAATCGATGTTTTCAGTAACCCATGTTTTAGAGAGTTTTGCGACAGTGAAGTGCCAGGCTAACTTGGACAAGACATAGCGACTATAGAAGAGAAGTTTATATTTGGGGCGCAGTAGCTTTGAGTCAATATCAGTCATTACTTCATTAAGTAGGGTGGTTAGTTTAGTTTTATGTTTATCATTCGACATGTGGAAATCAAAGTAACGTCCTAAATATTTAAATTATTGCCCAATGGTAATGTTTGGTATTAGTTGACTGCTGATAAGGAGTTTTGGTAAGTACTGAACTGATTTTGTGATCGCTTTTTTAATGCCAAGGTACTGCATTTGTCAACTCGGATAATCATATCAGACCATTGGCACCAGATAGAAAATCGATTTATTAGATGTTAGTTTTCGGATTCTTGCCCAGTAATTACAGCCGCGTCATCAGCAAACTGAAACCTGTGGATGGGATTTAGAAATTAGAAGGAAAACCCAAATTGACGGTACTTTTCAGCTTTGGTATGCTGAATGAATGTAATTAAATCACATGTTAAAAAGAAGAGGACTGAGGCAATCTCCTTGCAATACTCCATGGCCAACTGTCATAAAAGGAGTGCGGAATTCAGAGGTAATTATCGAGGTTTGGAAATAAGTATATAAACTTTTTGTAACAAATTTGATGAGAACACGACTACAATAGATACTGCGAAATTAGTATTCTTTATAATAAATTTGAAATTAATAAAGAATACTAATTAGGAGTGTTTTATCAGGTTAAAAACCACTGCACGTGACATATTATGGGTGACATGATTTGCCAATAAGCTTATGAATTATTAATGAGTGTTTGAAAGGTTTTTTGTGATCTTAAAACTTCGAAGGGCAGACAGAGTATAATTTTGAGTGCAAAATGATTAGTGGTTGTTTAGATTAAAGTATTGCGTGACCCCTGTTGTGACGTGCATACATATCTACAAAAATTGTTCATGAAGATGGCGGACATTTCATACCTTTCGATCACAATATTTGTAGCAGTAAGCAAGATATAAAAAAAACGGTAAAGGGTATTATATATAGTCTTAAAAGTTCTCTCAAATGAAAAAATAAAAAAATATATTGCCATTTCCCTTTAACAATAACAAAATAAATCACCAAATTTCTGCACTAATTATTGAATGTAATAATGGTACCTCTGACGTTGTCCTCTGAATGGTTTGCAAAACAGCTGGCATTGTATTCCTACAGTGAAAAAGCTCGTTAATCTATTTTCACCATCGCTTGCAGTGATTTTAGGCGAAGTAGTCCTATCAGCTATTATACTGTATTAGTTTATTAATGACTTACCCTGGTTTCCCTAAAGCTAAGTGATTTATCAGTCGTTATATACTAACGCTACTAATTAGATAGTTGAATGATTTAAAAAAAAACCCTTGCAAAACCGCTTGAATTCTCAGACCATACATGGGCACACATTTGTTTTTTTTGCGTTGTTTCAAGGGACAGAGGAGATAAAATACTAATTCTGGCTTTCGTTGAAAACTTTACTATACGGCCACACTCATCTTACCTTTTCTGGGTCAACAAGATAGACATAATCGAATGAAGAGTTTTTCATCAATGCATTCTCAGAACTATTGTGGACCACGTGGTGTAATATTTCACAATTTGGTTCATTCCGGAAGGTCGATGTCTTTTTGTAGTTAATTGATCTACAGCATGCCTCTTTGTGGCATTCCAATAAGCAACCTAACTTGTCGGAAACAACTTTAATCATCAAAACTGTTGTATCAAGCTTGAATCCTAAAATAATGACAGTATCAATTGGCATCTGGAAGTAATTCTAAAACTTATCTATAATTCTAAAATATATTTGGAAGAAAACATGGCTTTTTCAAGCGCGATCTCAAAAAGTATATGTAAACTCTGTTTTTCTACAATTTATAGTGTAAGGATTACACTATCCAATTTTGCTATTCTTTGACAATACAACGTAACTGTCTTGCGGTACTATCTTTTTATAAATTTGGCGCCTACCTTTCAACCTTGAATTATACACATTATTCAAACATCTGGCTTTCGCAATTTCCAGGAGAGTGAATGGCACGAGTAAATACAACAAATAGTATTTTGAATACATTGTTGCTCGTCCTGTTATCAACACTCTAAAATAGAGAAACGACTGATAGTACTTTTTTGTAAAATTAGAAGAAGCAAAGGTTTATTTTAAATAACATTGGATGAAACTACATAATAAATTGAACTACATACACGTACTTGCACGGCCAAATCTCAGCCATACGCTTCACGATTAGAGAATGTATGTTGTAGTGTTGTACAATTGTTTTGTTAGTTTTCAATGCAAGCTGTTATCAATGGCGTACTAATGAATATTGCCAAACGTGATGCTTTACCTTAAACATTTCCTAATTCCCACACGCGTAATACGAAAAGACACTTGCCACTGCATGGGAGAACCTTTGCGCAGAATTTGGTGTAATAGGTAATTAAAATACAATGGCGGATATTCAAGCGAGATCATGTACAAAATATGTCGCAAAATATAAAGTCCCTAAATTTCGACTTTCAGCTGTTAAATTTTACGCGGATTATCAGAATTGGTAAGATTTTAAAAACATGGGAAAATCGTTTATAGTTTTAAGAAAACTCGGATGCAGGTTTTGCTTTAAAAACAGCAAAAAAAACAGACGTGCATGACCGCAGACTTTGTTACATTACATTACATTATTAGAGACCTTAAGATTGACGTTTACGGCAAACGTCAAACCGCTAGCGAAGTTTTTGATTTTACAACTCTATTATTATAGCTTTTACACCAGTTTTGAAATATGTTAAACTTATTAAACTTGTGCTCTTTATCAATGATTTAAGAAAGCAAATTAACCACTAGTCATGCCATTCACCAAAGCAGTAAATTAAGATTTGCCGTTTGAAGTTTACGTTTGGCGTATAAATTTCATGCTTGAACTGCTACGAGGGCTTGTAGTCGTTAAAGCATGAAATTTATACGCCAAACGTCAACTTGAAACGCCAAATCTTAATTTACTGCTTTGGTGAATGGCATGACTAGTGGTTAATTTGCTTTCTTAAATCATTGATAAAGAGCACAAGTTTAATAAGTTTAACATATTTCAAAACTGGTGTGAAAGCTATAATAATAGAGTTGTAAAATCAAAAACTTCGCTAGCGGTTTGACGTTTGCCGTAAACGTCAATCTTAAGGTCTCTATTATTCAGATCACACGCCATTGTGGCTTTCAGTGACCGATTACATCAAGTATAATTACGTTCATGTTACTTACTTAGCCTTCACGGCAAAAAACGTTCAGGTTGATGCAATACTGATGAAAACAGGATTGAACAATGTTTTGCTGCCTACATTGTTCATAGCTGTCAACAATATTGTTGAACCCGATTGAACAATATTGTTACACCCGATTCAGGCTCAACAACGTTGTTCAATATTGTTGACAAGTGTGAACAACGTGGGCAGCAAAACATTGTTCAGTCCTGTTGAGCAACGGGCTCGGCGTTTTTTGCCGTGTAGACTATTTATCTTTACAACTATTGAGATATTACTTTCCTAACTGTGTTTATCCTAACTCACCCTGACAACTTTCCCTGTGGTAGGAAACCGGAGTGCCCTCAGAAAACCCACGACTTTCGGCAGAGCGTTGACAGACTCTTTTCACATGAGTCCATGGGAATCGAACCCACCAATCTCGTGGGGTTGCGAACCCACAATCACAGAGGTGAAAGGCACTTGCTCTGACTACTGCGCATATTGTAAGCCTTTAGACCAATGATAACTTAGTTTGGGTTCTTAATGTTTTGTTTAATATTTTTTTAATTGTGATCATCATTTTAAAAGTATTTGTTACTGTAAAATGTGCTGCTTTATACACAGTTATCCGCTCTATACAACGTTTTAGTACATAAATCTATTTACATAAAACTTGTTCTCCAATTAACTATGACAAGTTTTTATCTGACAAGTTTTACTTTTCAATTGTCTACGCGTAGGTGCAACAAATTTTCTATTCACAAGTTTTAGTTTTCTGACAACCATATGATAGCTATTATTAGATATTACAACAATAGACATGGACCAATCGCATGCAAGTGCTCAGATTACCTTGCCAAATGTACTTGTACGAAAATTGGCTTTTTTGAACAAGTGTGTACTGGTCACCATGCATATACTGCTACGAGCAAATGAAACTTGTCATGTGACTAAACTTGCCATAGAAAACGCGCACGTCTGTAACCGAAAGCGTTGATGCTTTTTATGTATCGAAGTACATTATTGCAGGGACGTCAAATATTTTTTATTCAAATATCGTATATTACACGTGTACGGAACTGATGTTACACAAACCTACTAGAAAATAGCATGTAAAGGTCCGCCTACTGGGATTTAATGCTTTGAAGAGGAATATGATGGATCTACTCTTGTTAAACCATTAGGCCATTGCGAAAATATTATCTATAAGCTAAGTCCTGAGAAAATATCATCTTGGGCTTAATTTAACAGTTTTCCTGTAAGTTCCAACATGAATCGAGAACTTAATTGCTAAAGCGTCGATCAAGACGCACAGCTTAGTGACTATACATGCATTGCGGCTTAAGGAGGTTCGACATTCTAGTAATCTTCATCAAACCACTAACACATGAACAAACCCGCGTGACTATTCCTACAACCTGACGTGCCGAGTTGTCCACGCAATCACACGCCAGTGCGCAATGCGCGTGTTGTATACAACGTTATGTATATCTATTGCTAACGTTGTTAAAAAATATGCGTCTAATATCTCTTTATTTCGTGCGGTGGTTCAAATTTTCCACACTCTATTGTGACATAAAAGTATTTCGTTATGCTAAAACAAAACTCAAAAGAAAATATTATCGAAATAAAGGACAATGTTGCATTTTAAAATGTTCGCTTTATTGTTATAGTCTAGCTATGATAAAATAGTGCACGAAAATCAGTTGTGGTCGCGGCGGGTTAATTATTCCCAACAATACGAAGCATAGACTATTTAGAGAGAATTGCGTACGCGTGTGCTGTTGTCCTATCGTATAACGTGTTCGGAACGATAATTTAAAAAATGCTTCTTACTCGATTGCTATAATATTTACTAAAATTCATTCGGAAAGGCGTTTTTGAATATTAATTCTCTCCGCCGTCTCTATTGCACAACATAAGTAACAAGTTTCCATATAATAGTAGTTGACCTTGATTCAGAAATACTTGTCGGAAATTTGTTCCGAAACTAGGGCGACATGACATTATGGTGAATGTGAATAGAGTATTAATTTGAACACTGTGCCATCGTAAGAAGAAAGGTTAAAGATAAATCGTAGGAATGATGACTTGGAGTATGCGTCTTCCGAATTTCATGATGCGATCGTTTATATCGCATCATGAAATTCGCTTGGTATGGCATCGTTCAAATCCTGTTCGAGTTAAATTTTTCCCTTCCCGTTCACATACGCCAAACTTTAAACGAATTCCAAACCTAATTGAAGCTGTCTAGTATTCACTGTTGTAATCAAAGGGGTCTTGTGAAAACGAGTAAAGTACGCGCACAGCTAGCGGTACAAATTAATGAATCACGTGAACAGAGGGAACGGTCGAATTTGTGTCCGGTTTCAAAACTCTCCAGTCTCGCATGTGAATCTATAAACCGCATTTGGCTTGTGCATGCTATTTACTTATAAAAGTTTGTTTAATTTAAGAACTAAAAATTATCCAGTGCCTTAATTATTGTCGTGCCGTCAATTTGCCTCCTACTTTTATCAGCTTACATTAAAACTGAAAGATTATTAGTATCAGCTCATGTTAAGTAAAGTATACTTTGCAAATTTGCCGTAAAAGTGGAACAATCGTGCATGGGGAAATGCAGAAGTATGCCCTCAGGAACCTCAGATAAGCATTTTCCTTATGTGCTAAAGGATTCAATTTGCACGCTCTGAGTTGCTTAACTGTTCAATCCTGATGTCAAACATAGTTACATAGTTTTGCAATGTTTTAATTAATCACTTGCATGACTGGGACAGTTGTGCATGAGGTACCTATGCATCACATTATCAGTATGTGTTCGAGAAGGAAAATCGGTAGTTCAAAAGCAGGGCCTTCATAATTAACGTCTTCAACTACGGCAGATAATTTAAGCAGATGCGAGAACACGCACTGTCGAATTAATTTTCTTTAACCATAGTAAGGCCTGTTTTATACGTCGAGTTTTTGTCGCGTCGAATGCAATTAAGACAATAGATAATGAGATGATAAACCTCATTAAGCTTCATTATCTAATGTTTGAATTGCATTCGACGCGACCAAAATTGGACGTATAAAACAGGCCTAAGTACCGTTGTATTGACTCACTGCTTGTTAATTATTCATGCATATATACTCATCGGCTACTTGAATAGTATACACTACTTTTAAGTTTTCAAAACACTAAAGTGTTTTACAGAATATATTATTTCAATTTTTGTAAGTATAGCTGGGGGGGGGGGGCAGCACAACATTTCCCAGCGCTTCAGATTCCAAAATGATTTGATGCGATATTGTTAAATTTCACACGAAAGACGAATACGTCCAAATTAAAAAGTTCAGGATAGCTTTCGACTATCTAAATACGTATCTGGGCAATGACGAAGATGTCGTGCGCCATCTTTTCTTCCTTCCTATCCTTCCTTCCTTCCTTCCTTCTTTCCTTTCTTTCTTTCTTTCTTTCTTTCTTTAATTTCTTTCTCTCTCCCAAACAGGGCACGGGCAGTGTGCATGTGCAAATCGATTTACATCCCATAATCAAAGAATTAAGCAAACGTTTTAGCTCAAATTCGTTGATTGCAAGTACAGTATGTGTGTCCGTTTTTTAGTGTAAACTGAAATCATGGTATTGCAAACCACCTCCCTCGGCTTTCGGGGACATTTAATCACTAATTTCCATCATATCATGGTGCTACTTATGATGAATATATGAAAAATACTCGTACTTTGGGAACTTTATTGCATCATTTTTAATCCGAAACGAAAGCCTGAACCTTACTGATAAACAATATCCGGTATCAGTGCGACCGGATGCCGGATAATAGGTTGATCTTTATATCTGGCCGGATACGATATCCGCTGCATCCGTAACTGCCACACACAAACACAATGGCCGTTAAACTCACATCCGATGAACTGGTATCGGACATGGACCTCTGGAAATTCTAATGCTGTCTTCAAATGGCATTGTATCGTGATTTGAAAAAAGAATTGATGATATTCCAATGGCATAACTAAATTTTTTGGCTAAAACTGGATTTCTTCCAATTACCAATAATGAAAATGTTCCCTTTAGAATATTTGAAGACGACAGAATTATATATTAGAAATCTAATTCCCTGGATTTTCCACACTTTTATAACTTCGCTTTGAAAAAAATTAGAAAAGCAAAATGACACCAAACTCCGAGAAGCCACCTTAAGTATTTACAAATATGCTGTGTGATGTTACTCTGAGTGTATATCCATTATCCACACCGGGCAGGCTTGAAAAATATGCCTGGCCACGGTGGGATTCGAACCTACGACCTTTGGAATACCAGGTCGTAGGTTCGAATCCCACCGTGGCATCTTATTCACCTGAGTAATATTAAGTATTTAAGTAATATTTTTTTATTGATTGGTTGAGATAGTTGTAGTTAGGTTTTTTGAATTTGTATTTTGTATTGTTATGGTTGGTGCGATAATCGTCCGACTTTTACAGACTTAATAAAATGTAGATGTAGATGAGTACATTGCACCAACACAGCAAATATCATATTTACAAATAATCTACACGACTGGAAACTTCATGTAATCCTCTGGGGAGAGAGAGGCATCAGTCGGAAAAGACATCATATAATATTATCTACATTCATCAAAACTCATTTGGTGTTCAATTTAATTTGGCTCCTGCTTTAATGAGCATGCATTAAAACTAAAATTTTGTTAGTATCAGTTGATGTATGTTAAGTAAAGTAAGTAAATTTGCCGTAAAAGTCGAACAGTCGTGTATGAGAAAAATACAGAAGCACGCCCTCAGATAATGCATTTTGCTTATGCGTTATAAATGATTCAATTATAATTCAAAGTGTAGTTATTAAGTTAAGGACTGAGTAGTTTAACAGTTTATTCCTCATGTTCGTCAAACAAAGTTTGCCATAATATTTAAACTAAACATTTGCATTACTGGAACAGTTGTAAGGGACGTATTCAGCAGTATATATGTTAGATAAGGAAATTATTTGCAGAAAGTAGAAAAGTCGCGTAGTTCAAAGACAAAGGCAGGGCCTTCAAAATTAACAACTTCACTTACGGCAGTATTTTAAACGCAACAGAGATATGAGCAGAAACGGATGCATTTGATACGAGGTAAAAAGAAACTTACCAAAATCTAACTTTACTTTCTTGATTTTCTTCAAACATTCGCAATCAGCACTCAACAGATGTGAGAACAATCGAATTTTCATTAACTATAATAAGTACCGTTGTATTGACTCACTGCTTCTTAATTATTCATGTATACATGTCGGCTACTTCAATAGTACACTAATTTTAAGTAGTACACTGTACTAAAACCGAATATACTATTTCAATTATTATAGTATGGCCATGCAACCTCGTACCAAGGGCATTTTGCTTCCGGTCAGCGGTCATGACCTCAAAATCTCCAGTGTTTGGGGTGTTCAAGTATAATAATTTATGCGTATAAATACGTATATAGAATAATTATATACATGCATTGTAATTACTGACAAGAGTAAACAAACTCAATGCTGCGTATATAATCAAAGAGATAGCGACAAAATAAGTTGACTTTATGCTGTTTTCGTTGTTCATACCTCATTCAGCAGCATATGCAAACATAGCCCATAATATTGATGAGTTAAACATATTCGGAGCCTGGTTATCTTGTGATTCAATTCTTAATGAATAACTAAACAAAACCGCTTTAGCGTTTGGTTTATATAAATCGTTTTATGAGCAAATATATATTCGTATCGCAATCTTTATTTGACTACAACGCTGTACGTTTCTTGAAATCAACGATGTGTAAACAACGCATGTGAGAAACGTATGTTGAACCGAAGCAAATACTCGTCTATACAAAATGTACAAAGACTTAGACTTATTTTGAACCAAATTGTTTTTTGAAGTATTGTCCTTCCCAAATTCAGGCTGTATCTCAAGCTAAATATCAAAAGTCTTATTTACTCAATACCTTAGTCTTTCAAGAACTACCAAAATAATAATGATTCCCAGATATATTGAATATTTACATTCAAAATCATAGACCAATCTGGTTGCAAAACGGAGCAGCCGAAGCCAGCGCCTTTTTCGCCCTGGGTATCAAGTTGAAGTAAAAAAGCCCTGGATACGAGGTTGAAGTATGGCGGAACAGGGCAACATTACTGATATTGTATAAAATTGCACACGAAAGAAGAATACGTTAAAATTAAAAATTAAGATCAGCTTAAGGTGGCTCGATACAGTTTTAAATAATTCAGGTGTTCAACACTTTGACATGTTCAAACTACGCATTTTTAGGATTTATTCAGCAGATATTGGTTTTTTTATATATTTTTATATCTCTACTTTCAAATTATATTTGTTTTAGTAACAGATAGGTCGTTGCTATGATGACCCCCAATTTTTTTGTGCATTATTTTGCTTGGACGAAAAGCTAACAATTAGCAAAATATAAAAAAATTTGAAATTAAACGAGACTTACCTGTAAGTTGAAGTTTGATTGGAATTCTGCGAGTCATCAACAGGGAGTGAAGGAGTTGTACTAGAGAGAGTGCAGCACATGCGCAAAACCAGTCTTAAGAGCACAATTACCCAATGACAATTTTGTAATTTGGATGGGTTTATTATTTGTAATCAAAATGGGTGGGAGTACAACTCCTTCCTGTTGATGACTCGCAGAATTCCAATCAAACTTCAACTTACAGGTAAGTCTCGTTTAATTTCAAATTCTACTTCGTCATCAACTCGGTCGTTCCGGAGTTGTACGAGATTTCAGAGACGTCATTGAGTAATTGTAGCGTGGGTAGCGATGAGAAACAGTGATACCCACTGTAAGTGCAATATTAAATGCACCAGCAAAAAACACAACAATGTTTTATTATCTTTGTCACATAATAAATGCACAATGAAATATGAACAAGGAACTTTAAAGATTGTATGAACGTTAAATAGAGTTAACATGTTGAATCCAAAAAACCTTTCCAAAATTAAAACTTGATTCTGTGGGCTTGTTATAGAAACGTTGAAACGTCTTTTCATTCGACCAACCAGCAGAGGACAAAATATCTTGGATACTATTATTACACCCTGCAAGATGGGATGATGAAGCCGCTCTGGTACTGTGTCCCTTGAATTTTGATATGTCAATGCCAGATGAACCAAGCGCTGTTTTACACCAACGAGAGATTGTGTCTTTTGATACCGGACCATGAGGTTTTACATAGCTTATTAATAACTGCTAACTTTTCCGAAAGGCAGCTGTTCGTCTGATGTATTCTCGAATATCTGTTAAAACACATACAGTTTGGTCTTGTGGGTATCCAAGAAATTCAAGTGGTTTAATATGTTTTCCCACTCGTGATTGTTTGATCTTGTTCGCAACAATGAACACACATTTTCCATCAGTTAGTTGCATATGTTCAAGAGACAGGCAGTTTATAGTCTGGGAACGTTGTCACAATAGACATAGTAGAAAGATCAAATGTAGAGTGAGATCTTTTAGACTAAGCTCCAATATAGGTGGCTGCTTGCGACGATGATTAAGTACAACGTTTACATCCCAAATTGTCTGGTATCGGGGGAAAACATGGTTTCAGCTCATACAACCCTTTCATGAAACGTTTAACAACTGGTGAATGCCCAAATGGCATATTTACATCATGCAACTGTAGAAGACTGGATAAGGCACTATAAGACATACCAGAGTCAGATAACTGCGCCAAAAAATCCACCGCAAATGTTACAGGCGGCGATATCATATCACACTTATGTTGCGTGCAAAATTCTTGCCATTTGATAATTTGAGATTGATACTGACTATGAGTACCTGCTCTCCAGGATGCCAATGTAATTTTTATGGAGCTTTGGGACAATCCTTGGGCTTTAAGTTTCTCCCCGATAAGAGACAAATAAGAAGTTCCATCTTTCTGCACGAAGTGGATGAATCGGGGGCTGATGGAAGTCTCTAATGCTTCGACAAGACATGTGGAATTGAGCATCCACTCAGTATCAACACTGATAAAATTTCGAGATGCATGGTCAGCGTCAACATTAGTGGCTCCTGGTAGATGGGCAGCTGTGAGCCATATATCATTACGAAAACAAAATTCCCAAATTTTTCTGGCCATTAAATGACAGCTGTCACTGTGTACACTGCCCATATGGTTAATGACAGCTACTGCAGTGGTGTTATCAACCAGGATTTGTACGTGTATTTGGTAGTAATAGAAACCTTAAAACATTTCAACGCCAACAGAACAGCGTGTAATTTCAGGACATTAATATGGCATTTTGCCTCTACAGCTGTCCATCTACCCCCTGTTGATATTTCTCCCTTAACAGCACCCCACCCTTTCAATGATGCATCTGAATATAAAACAACATCCACAGGTGGGTATCTTATGGGATTGAAACTGGTATCAATATGATTTAACCACCAGTCAAGTTCATACTTAGCATTTGCGATAGAGATATAAAGGCATCAAAATTTCCTTTACATGATTTAAGTGCAGCAATTTTTTCCTTTTTCTAAATACTTGTAATAAAGTGCCCCATACATTATCGCAGGGAGGCTGGCAATAAGACAGCCAATAAGTTTAGCAACCAAACGTATTTTTATATGACGTATTGAGTCTATAGTCTGTTTGACCAGTTCTTTTATGTGTTTTATATTCTCAGGTGTCAATCTTGTTGTCATATAGATTGAGTTAATGACAAAACCTAGCAAAACAATCTCCTGTACTGGTATGAATGTTGACTTGTCTGGATGGTGTACAAGCCCAACATTGTCAAACACTTTTACTGTTTGTACTACATTAGCAATGCATTCCTTTTTTAAGTTCAAGATAAGACGTATACCACCATCCTTCTTAGGAACAGTGAATATTGGTGAAATAAATTCTATAGGAGCATGATGGCACTCCTGAATAACATTATTTAATAATTGTATGCTCGATTGGGCTGGGGAGGGTAATGGCCCCTCCCCTGATGCGGTAAAAAATGAGGGCGTGATGTGCTTGCTGAATTATAATTTGCTGATGATCTTGCCTTTCCACTGGTAGGCATATGTGTTAAGTTATTCACAACCTTGCTTGTTGCTCTTAAGTCCTGTAAGACTTTAGAGAGGTCATCACCAAAAAGTGATTTCTCTATTTTATTGTTACGAGAGCATGCTGGTTTGAATTCATTTGTCAGACTTGGTCGGATCTGGTCTCTTCGTTTGAACGAAAGTTCTTTATGAACATGCCCAATAAGAGCAATGCAGTCGATCAAGTTAGACATAACAGATTTGTAATCAGGAATTGATCGTTTCTCTCGACAGTCTAAACGTGTGTTCAATGAGATAATTACAGCATTTGACACTCTAAGTAAGAGGTCTTGTAAGGTTGACATCTTTATGTCTCGCTGCTTAGTTGTTGGGTTTAATTTTCCCCATATCTCCGGGTTAACACGTGGCACATAAAGTGCCTCACAATTTTTGGGTGTTTTGTACTTTTCAGAAAGTTGTTTCCTTTTTTCAAGGTCAAGATCCATCACAAACTTAGTATTCACTAGTTGTGAAAGTTTTTCAATAACTTGTGGTCCATGATCCTCAGTGGGACAGAGTGATTCACCTATTTTTGTCAGAAGACTGGTATTGTCTTCATCCTCACTCATTGACCCGGCAAGATCAGGGTCATGCTCATCCCCATGTACACTTAACCTGTCGTCATTTTGCTCACTTGTGTGTTGCTCATTGTCTGACTCTGAGACCGAATTTGTTGCTTCCTCTGAAGCATTGTTAGTTGCTTCCTCTGAAGCATTTGTAGTTGCTGTCTCTGCAGCTATATCTTGTAAGCCTACTTGAGGTTGTATATCATTCGAGTCATATTTCTGACGTTTGCTCGAGCTGGCCGAAGCCGTGACACTACTGGTGTTAGCTCGTTTTTCGCCTTGGCGTTCGGCCACTAAAATGGACAATAACGCTGTTTGTGTAGACATAGTCTTCTGTAAAGACGACAAGAACTCACGAAAATCTGCCCTATCATGCTCAGGGTCTTTGTTTGCTTGTTCGGGCATATCTAAGTCGTCAGACTCGTCATAATCAAGACGACTTTCAAGGTCATTCGGGTCATCCGAATGAGCCGCCATGTTGCCTAAATAAACAGCATAAAAATAATCAAACCATGCAAAATACAAGACAAAATTGTGATACTTAGCTGAAAAACTGCAACAGAAATAGATATTTATTTTGAAGATACATTACCAACTGTTAGAAATAGTAAAAATCTTCCAAAAATCCTCTGGATGAAAAAACACGATGCTGGTTTTTCCGCGCAAACTGCACAAGTGGTTTTGCGCATGCGCTGCACTCTCTCTCGTACAACTCCGGAACGACCGAGTTGATGACGAAGTAGAAT